CTGGTTAACTGTCCCCTCCCCACAGGCACGACTCTTCTTCAGTATGTCGATGACCTCCTGATTGCCTCTGAGACCTCTGCTGATTGTTTGCAGGCCACCCACACCATTTTACAGTTTATTCATCAGGCAGGGTTTAAGGTCAGTAAGTCTAATTTCCAGGCGGTTCATTCCCAGGTGTCATTTTTAGGCCATCTTGTGTCAGCTACATGTACGTCTTTGTCACCTGAACATAGAGCCTCTTTTCTAAATCATTCAAAACCACAGACTGTTCAAGACATGCTCTCTTGTCTGGGTCTGACAGGCTACAGTAGACAGTACTGTATGTCCCTGATTACACAGGTCTAACTACCGTTCTTCGTGATCTAGTTAAAACTCAGGGCAAGAGAAAATTAAAAGCTAGTCTACAGTGGACGCAGCCGGCTGAAGAAGCTTTCATTCACTTGAAACAGCTTTTGGCCAGAGCAACAGATCTAGCTTTGCTTGACTACTCCTTGCATTTTCATCTAGATGTTTCTGAAACAAATTGAGCTGTAAATGGCATTTTGTTTCAGAAAAAGGGGGTGAGAGACAGATTTTAATGTATGCTAGTGTTTTGCTAGACAATACAGAAAAAAGACACCCACCTTGCATCCAACTTGCAGCAGGACTAGCAAAAATCATCCAAAAAACAGCTCACATTGTAATGGGTCATCCTTTAAACATCCTCACCTCTCACAATGTCGTAGCTTATGTTAACTCACAGATTTTCACGATGACATCATTGAGACARCAGAGAATGAGTAAAATATTAGGGGCTCCTAATTTACTATTCTCACATGAAGGCATAAACATGGCTGACAGAATGACAACAGGACCAACACATGACTGTGTGAGAAAAGTGCAGACAGAAGAAAAAATCAGGCCAGATTTAGAGACAGAACACATACCAGGCTCAGAAGTTTTGTACACAGACGGTTGTTGTTTCAGGATGGAAGATGGTTACTTAAAATCAGGATTTGCAGTGGTGAGACAGGAAGGTCAAAGGTTTGAGATTCTGCGGTCAGGACAGCTAGAAGGACAACAGTCAGCTCAAAAGGCAGAAATTCAGGCAGTGGTAGAAGCATTAAAGGCAGGAGCTGGGAAAGAGGTTACTYTGTACACAGATTCAGCTTATGCCTATGGTGCAGTTCATGTCCAGTTACCTCAGTGGAAAAGAGCAGGGTTCTTGACAGCAGGACAGAAACCCATTAAACATGAGAAGTTGATGAAAGAGTTGGCCGAGAGTTTGTTACTTCTAAAGAAGGTGGCAGTGGTGAAGTGCAAAGGTCATGACATGACTGGGTC